ACGGAAAAAGTGCCCCCTTTGAAACCCAAAGGGGGATGTTTTGTTTTTTTCCAAGGGGTTTGAGTGAATTTGTAAAGTGGTCCAAATCAAGATATTCTTATAGAAATGGATTTGTCTCGACAAGACAAACAAAAAATGTCAACACATCTCATAGGTTTGGATGGAAAATGACAACGTTATTAAGCTTCAAAAGTTCCTAAAAGGTCATTTTTTGAACATATTTTAAAGTTTGTAGGTGAATAGTTTTTTCATTTTCCATCCAAACATATGACATGCCATGACATTTTTTGTTTGTCTTGACGAGACGAATCCATTTCTGTAAGAAGATCTTGATTTGGACCACTTTGAAAATTCACTTGATTTGGACCACTTGGAAAATTCATTTAAAACCCCCGTAAAATATAACAAGACATTCCCTTGGATTTCAAAGCGGCACTTTTAACGTGAAGTTGAAAAGATCTCACGTTGAATTCAATTCCAAAGAGTTTGAGTACATTTTGAAAATCGTCTAAATTGACATTGATGTCAAAAAATGAATGCCTATTGACAAGTGCATTGTACAAATTAAGGTGATCGCCGTACTTCCAGGTACAGTAAACGCTGTACTTCTAGGTACGGCAAACGCTGTACTTCTAGGTACGGTAAACACCGTACTTCTATGGGTACGGTAAACGCTGTACTTCTAGGTACGGTAAACACCGTACTTTTAAGTACGGCAAATCCTGTTAATAAATTAACGGCGAATACCGTACATTTTTCTCACAGTGTATCATGGTCCAAAACGCACTTGCTCATATCGCGATGTGTCTTTCTGAGGGTTTTTGTCATGGAAAAAGGAGTTCCTCTTACCATAGACTTTGACTACCAAAATTGGTGCCCGGCCACTAGTTAGGCCTACGCATTTCAGGTGTGCTCTTTGGATATGAGAACACTGTTTTACATTTCAGGTATTCATAGATATGGCCACACGATCAAACAACCAATGGAAAGAAAACGCATTCATCATGAATTTTCCGAAAGTAGGATGCTCAACGTGGCGTGACCAAGTGCCGGAATTTTTCCACCTCTTTGCCAACATCAGTGGCGCGTCAGAAGATAAGAACAAACCATGTCGCATCCCAGCAGTAAGGGAGACACTAAGGGGTGTCGAAGCCACGGTCGGACCTTCGTAGCAGGGGTTACGCACTTCTTCGGTATGCTAAAAAGTAGGCAGTTGTTTACTAAACTCTGCACAGATGGGAAGTACTTTAAATGGAGGGTAAGTCAGGCTTATAGCGGCTATGATAAGCCCTTCTCGGTAGAGTGTCTGCACCAAAAAACGCGAAAAATCATTTTTGATCGTGACGTCACATTCATCGCTCGATTCATTGGTTACCAGTGCTCTTTTGATGTCTGCAAAGCGTTTTGCAAACACCGGACTGGTTTTCATCTTCTCGAATAAATGCGTAACCACTGCACATCGCTCGAGCACGGCTTCGCTCGCTCGGCCTTTGCCGCCGTCCCCCGCAGACACACCGAGCCACTTCATTGATATTTCCGTGCAACCAAGGCCGCGAAGCACCTTCCGCTTGTCAGTAATTTCAAAATAACCTCGAAAGGTGGGCCATATTACCCGTACGATTGGTACCGATTAGCAGTTCGGTAATCGTTAATTGAAAACGCACACGATTAATCAAAAATTACTCATGAATCGGAAGAAACCGTACTAGCATGTAAAAAGAGGATAGGAAAACTATTTCAGCAAAGTCGAGTCTCTGTGACGACTTTTCAGCCTTCACTCAAGGAGTTTTAGGCTTCCGTTCAGAATTTGAACGGATATGCATAGAATGTCCGGTGATGAGACGATTAATCGGTAATCGATCATCGGTAAATCCTCGGTCAATACTTCGATCACCGAACCACTAATCGTGGCTTTGAAATAATCGGGCTATTAACAAAATAATTGCGATTATTCTCGATCAATCCATTAATCGCCCAGGCCTATGAGGGCATGGAAAGGTTTACCAGGAATCTGGTTACTTTTGCTAGTCAGAGATCACTTTGTGTCCTTTGATAAAGAGTATTTTACACAGCAATAAAAAGTACTATTTCCTCAATATCTATGTATGATTTCGTTCGTTACATTGACTTAAAGTCAATTTGCTATCGATAAAGAGTAAATACGCAATTGACTTCCACAACAGTCAATAACTGATGACAATTTAGTCTTTATAATGAATAATTTTGTACATGGCTTCAAAGGAAATACTACATATTATTGCTGCTTAAAAAACTAAGTAAGCAAAGGACAAAAAGTAAATAATGGGGAGAAAAAAGTCAAGACGTGTCTGAAAAAGTAATTAGATACCTGGTTGGTTCCTATTCAATTAGACTGTCTGGTAAATTGGCATCAACATCCTGGTTGCTGTAACGCGCCTCTTTTTTCTCCGTGAGGTGTAGACCACGTTTGGATTCTAGACTCAGTGCCTTTCTTACAGGGAGAATATATTTTCAAGAATGAACCAATGAACTGGAGAACTCCGAACTTCAAAGTGATGCCGTACGGTCGCTATCGCATGCGTATCAAGATCCGAGACGGCCCCACTGTAGTAGGATGTAATGAGCTGGACTGTGAGGTCATCCCCAGGCCGTCTTGAGTTGCGCTGTGTCCTAAAACCACGCACTTCCGATAATGGCCTGTGACGACTCCGCGTCCCCGTACTTCCCGTTTGGTGGGTGAAAGTCCTCCGAAGTCTGCTTTCCTGCCTTGCTTGTCATGACCCGAGTTAAAATAAATGGTTGACAAGTACTGACGTTGTGTCCTCTATTGTTGGCTCTTCACTGCTAATCCAAGTGTGGACCAAGTCCACGCTAGGAAACGTGGCCCACGAATGGTCCACGCTAGGAAACGTGGCCCACGAATGGTCCACGCTAGGAAACGTGGACCACGAATGGTCCACGCTAGGAAACGTGGACCACGAATGGTCCACGCTAGAAAACGTGGACCAGCCGTGGTCCACGCTAGGAAACGGGGACCAAGCCGTGGTCCACGCTAGGAAACGTGGACCGAGCTGTGGTCCACGCTTCACAGCGTCGAACTTCTCATAGGCCAATCACACTTCCAAGTGTGGACCATCCGTGGTCCACGCTTCCTAGCGTGGACCATTCGTGGTCCACGTTTCCTTGCGTGGACCATTCGTGGGCCACGTTCCCTAGCGTGGACCACCGTGGTCCACGCTACCTAGCGCTACCTAGCGTGGACTTGGTCCACACTTGGATTAGCAGTGAATGACAAACATCGACTTAGTACGTCATTTTGGGACAAATAACGAGACATTGGGATTTCAGACAAATTCCATTTATTTGTGAAAACATTCCTCGTTGAGCGAGGAGGGATGCGTGTCACCTTGGCAGCAATTTACGTCACAATATGACCACTCAAGATGCACAAGGCAGTTTGACCAGACTTCTGACAGAAAGAGAAACAAACATGAATAGAGCACCATCAGATTACAAAAACACAATCCCTATAACAGAATAAAAGAATCATAAATATTGAATGTGGAGGCCACTAATCATAACCTGTAGTGACAGTGAATTCAGAAAAATTGTTTCTACAGATTTGTATCTTGAGGAAGCTGAGACTTGAAATAGACAAACATGCTTATCGGCTTCCTAAAATTATAGATGCCATTTATAAAATTAAAACCTACTACAAAATGTTTAAAAACACGCTCTAAAATAAACAAGGCCATGTTGGGAGAGAAACGCCAGCTTATTGCACTTGATCTCTGAAATAAATAATACGGGATGTGCAGAGAAACAATCCCAGTGAACCCATCACTGTGGCCAGGCCGGAGCGGTCGCCCCCAGCTCTCTTGCCAAGGCATTGTCGCTGCGGAGTCTGTGGTTTGTGCCGCCGATGGTGGCTTTGCACTCGTTGCACACCGACTCTGCATGGCGCCGCCGCAGTCCCCGATCACGTAGAAGTGGCCGTTGGGGCACTTGTACCAGTGGCCGCTCGACAGCCCAACTGCTTCCTTCACGTAGAGAACCTCTTCGATCCTTCCAAACTTTTCAAGCTCCTCTCGTACCTCACCGTCTCTACCCTGAAAGAAAATAACGAAGTCGTTGAAACCACATTTCGGAAACCTTACACGCCATTTTACGCGTTGCATAGACAAGTAATCATAACAACACGGCAAGAGCAGCGCATTGAATTTCCAGGGCCGCCCTGGAAAAAGGTGTCATTTTCCAGGAGCCGCCTGGGATCTCCATGCGTCACTATTGACGTGAAGTTCACTCTCAGACCCATGACCTTTATTGTCTCTTGCTTATAAAGTTGACTGAGCAGACGTAAGTTGTACTCTTTTCTCTTTAACTATGCACAGTTTTGGTCGTTTTTAATATAAAATTGTCCAAAGATCATGTAAAAATTAAACATTACATTGCAAATGACAAAAAGTCACGTTTAATGGACTAATGACCCTTTATAATGAAAAATAATCGTGCAAAGCTAAATAGAAAATAGTACATATTACGTTTGCTCGAAAAACTTTTTGGCAGGAGATAAAAAGTCAATGCGAGGCTACGCTTGACTTAAAGCGTTGTCTACAGGCGTACTCTACAAATCGAAGAGAATACATTGTATGCTCTAACTGGAGCATGCCTGCAAGCACGCTCTAGGGTCAGGGCGGGGAAGAACTGGACAGGTGAAGAACTGGACACCCCATATTTTACTTCAAATACCGTAGGCACAGGAATAACAACTATAGTTGTTCCGTAGCATCAGCGGTTCATTACACGACAGTTGTCAGGCCAGCACTTACGGCATTTGAAGTAAAATGTGGGGTGTCCAGTTCTTCCCCTGTCCAGTTTTTCCCGCCCTGATCCTAGCAGGCGCATGCCTGCCAAGCATACACTTACTAGTGCATACATGCCATCCATGTACACGCTTCCTGATGCAGGCAACTCCCTATCCCTGTCCCTTGTGCACTAGATGCATGCTTCAGTTAGCGTGCATGTATGCACTTGTAAGTGCATGCTTGACAGGCATGCGCTAGCTCGAGCGTGCTTGCACACACTTAACTTCTTACACTGAGAATGAATTGGTCACACCATCGCCCTTTTAATGGGTGATGCAACTTCGTTGCCCAAATTTTGGTGACGAAAAATTCATCACCCGAAATTTGGTAACAGGCGTAGGTCGCCCAAATTTGGGTAACGCCGTCGGCGACGCCGTGAGGTTCGCGATGACGTCCATCCGGAGCCACCACGATGACGGAGGCCTCAACGCCACATTGGGTCATCGTGGTGCCCCGGAAGAGCGTCATCGGGGACCTAACGGCGTCGCCGACGACGTTACCCAAATTTGGGCGACGATTTTCTGACTGCCCAAAATTTGGTCACCGCGAGCTCGTCACCCAAATTTGGGCAACGATGCGTGCGTTACCCAATGAAAGGGCGATGGTGGTGACTCTTTCATTCTCAGTGTACGGATACATCCTATCTGTATTACGGACATTTTGTGCAATTGCAATTACGGATAGATTTTGCTTGTAATACGGATGAAATCATCCTATACGAAGAGTTTTACGTCCGTACCATACGGATATTTTCGTCTGTATGTTACGGACGTAAAACTCTTCGCAATACGGATGATTTCATCCGTATTACAAGCAAAATCTATCCGTAATTGCAATTGCACAAAAATGTCCGTAATACAGATAGGATGAATCCGTAAGAAGTTTAGTGTGCAGGCATGCTCCAGTTAGAGCATACAATGTACGCTTTTCGATTTGTAGAGTAGTTGTATGCTTGAACGAAGCGTAAGCTCCAGTTTCACACCCCAAATTAATAAGATGTAAGTCAAATGAACTGCGATTAAGTCTCACCATGTGGTAGGGTCCAACGGTACGGATAGCTCGGATCAAGAAGGTCTGGGCCTGGGATGACAAAATCCCGCTGCACTCCGCCTTGCACAGCGCTGCCAGGCGGGTGAACCGAGTCAGCTCCACGTTGATGTCCTTTCCCTGCGTACCAGAAAGGGCATTTAGACTGCTGGCGACGAAAGACCGTTGGAACAAGGGAACATAATTAACCGCTGCTTGGTGTTAAACTCTTTTTGTTAAAGCCTTCTAATTGAACGCATAAATGAAGGGTTACAGGCGCATCTGCTCACTCTGCAAACACAAGTGTGTGCACCCAAGTGCTTGTCGGACACACTTTGAACTGTATGCCTGTCAGGCACACAGTTCAGAACGGCCCGCCTGACCAAGGGTGCTGCATGGGTCCTAGAACCGCTGTTCTTAGGTATGCGCCTGACTAGAAGTTTAAGCCTAACAAGCACACTGTTTAAAATGTGTGCAGACAATTTGCAAAATGTGTGCTGCACAGTAAAGTCTACCAAGCATCGGTTCGTATTACGAAGAAAACGAAGGCATTGTGAGGCATTGCTTTGTAGTACGAAGAAAAATCCTTCGTTCAATGAAACAGTTCTTCATAAAACGAAGCAATTCTACAATGCCTTCATTTTCTTCGTAGATACGCAGCTAAAGCAGTATAGACTTTTCAAAGTGCGTGCACCCACTTGCGTTTGCACGGTAGAAAAAGCTCAAATGCTCATTTTGGAGTCAGAGACGAAAACGAATTCTGAAAGCGCGTAGCTAGATAAGCGGTCTATGAGATCATTTTTTCACCTGCCCATAGTCTCAAAATGTAAAAGTATCATCGCTATATGGCAGATATTCGTCGATGTGACCATCCAATTGAGACTAGGCTCTGATTCGAAACCAAGAGCAGCGTCACAGGTTGAAACACACTCAATTCCTAAGAACTTTTTAATACATACTTATGCATGCACATACGTGTGCATTTTATGCATACCCTCGTACATATTTTACAGTGAACAGACAGAATTACAGGCAACGGAAAGGCTCTCACCTCCTGGGCACTGAGTCGCACGAGGTCGCGGCGCTTGATCTCCCGGCAGAGCAGCTCGACGGCTGCCTCCAGCTCGGCCCTCTTGGACTCCGTGAGGCGAGGCCGCGCCTCGTTGGCCACCTTGTAGAGGCTGCTCAGGGCGGACACGTACTGGTGGAGGCTCTGGATCCCCGTCAGGCTCAAGTGCGGCGCCGCCCGCGCGCCCTTCTTGCGGCCGCGCGCCCTCTTCTCCACCTTGCCGAGGTGCAGGTCCACTGTCTGGACCAGGTCCCACAGGGCGGGGAAACCTGGGAAGAGAGATAGACGGTCATCTTTGAAGCGAATGCTCCACAACACTGGCGAAACAAAGGCATTATAATAGGAAATGTGGCGAAACAGGAAACTTTGGCCCGTCCCGATGATTTAGAAATCGTGAACCCTCACACACTCAGCACGTTACTGACTTTTTTCTCATTAATTACGTATCCGTATAAACAGCAATAATACTTAGAATTTGCTGAGTAAGTATGACTTATTTCCTTTGTAAAATTATGTACAAAACAAAATTCTCAGTAAGTTATCTATTTCGTAAGTAGTTCTTTAAAAAAGGAAAAGTACGTATTATAGTTGCACAGATAACTTGCATAAGTATTGACAAATTAAGCAAAAAGTCAATAACGTGCTGAGAGTGCACTCTTAAAAGACTACGAAGCATAACTACGGAGAAAACGTAGGCACTGTAGAATTGCTTCCTACTAGAAATGCTTCGTATCACGGAGGATTTTGCTTCATGGTACGAAGCATTTCTTCGTAATGCTGTCATTTCTTACGTATTACGAAGCGATTCTTCGTAGAGCTAACTGTGCACTTAAAGGACAAAGCCGGGACAAAGCCATAGAGATTGTGACGATCTGAAGAGTGTAGATTTTTTTGATGCCATTATCCTCATTTACGCCCATTGATAACACATAATTAGTTTTTGCCCTTCCAAAGGATGTAAAAGGAATCTTAAGTTATCTTTCGGGTCTAAAATTAATGTCTCTCTAAATGGCGTTAAGCAATTGATGCCGTTTAGAACACACTAAATTCTTATGGACTTTTTAAATGCATAAGGACGCATTTTTTATGCATAGTTATGCATGCGCAGAAACGTCCATAAGGTATGTAGAAAATTGTGCATCATTGTGTACATTTTATGCATTTTCCTGCATAAAATGTACACAGTGATCGAGGGGGGAACAGCTTTCCACATTCGTTGTACAAAATTTGACCACATTCCACATTCAGGAGGCAAAAACGCCTGTAAGTAGGCAACATGTGTGGCAAAAAAGCAAGAAATCTTGCACATTCTTGCACATTCACACAATCATTGTACACAAAATTTTACAGTGGGTCACCCCTCGACAGTGATGCATAATATTATACATAACATATGGACGTATCTGTGTATGCATAACTATGCATAAAAAAGTCCATAAGAATTTAGTGTGAAGACCAAAAGGTTTTATGTCGCAAAGGGCGAACAAGGCCTTTGAGTTGCCGGTGCACAGCCCCTGTGACAAGAGAAGTCAGGTTCGACTCCCTCCCTACCGGGTGGGCGGTCTGGGATCTCCTTGAGCAAGTTCCGCGTCTCCTTCGCCACGGGATCGATGGTGGTCCAAGTGCCGAAGAGCCGCTCCTTGATCGCAGCCACGTCCGCGGCGTTCTGCTTCGTCACGTTGCCGTAGCGCAGACTCGTCGCGACGGGCGCCTTGCACCTCGGGCACTCCTGGAGGTCGGCGAAAGCAGAAAATACACAATGAGAAAACCTTACAAACTATTTCAGGCCTTACAAAGAAAAGCAGTTTGTTAAAACAAAGTATTTTGAGCATGCATGAGCTCAAAAAGAAAATATTTTGTAATTTACGAACTATTTCTTTCGTATAACAAAGTAAATTAGTTTGCACTCATGTACGCTCAAAATACTTCGGAAGATTTCAAGGGTACGCGGTTATGGTCAAGATTTTCTCCGCAAGGGATTCAACAGGATCTCTACAAGGTAAAGTAAATTTCCAAATGTTAGTTCCAAAATCAGCTGCACCACCATACAATGAGTGTCTGGCTAAAATATTAGGACTCGAAACTCTTTCCTATTTGTTTTAACATTCTTACAGAAGGAGGTAACGGGCTGTGGAGGTGGTGAAGCCATGCCCACGCATTCGGTAGCTTCCAGCTACGCTTGAGTTCGGGCATTTAGAAACGAATGCTCAATTTCATGCAAAACTTGTGCTCGAAAAACCACATAGTAATTAAGTTTGTGCACTGGTAAAACTGGAGCGTACTTGTACGCTTCATTCAAGCTTACAACTCCGCTTGAAGACAAGCGTAGAGAAGAAATTCTCCCATGCACTTAGAAAGTCGGGAGATGGGCGGAACAGGAATCTACGCTCAAAGGCGAGCGTGGCAACTACCACGCTGGAAGAAAGGCGTAGTACGCTGAAGTCCTACCAGTGTGAACGGATCAGCACTTACCTTTTTGGTGATGGCTTTTTTGTCGTTTTCTTCATCAGCAGTTCCGAGCATCCAGCGGTCGAGCGAGGTCACTTCAAACAAGTGTTTGCAGTCTGGCAGCATCACAAACCTACCAACGAAAGTTGTAAATTGTTTTTTAAACAAATCCGAAAGTGCCCGAAAAGTTTTGAGATCAAGTCGCCAATTAGCGTTGCGCAGACAGCTCATTCGGATTACCCATCTAATATAACACCGCCACAGCCGGGCCGGAGACAGCTGTGTTTCGTCGTCTGAAGTGGCAAATTTGACATGTAACTATACAATGCGGACACTTTGGTACGTGGAAACACAAGCATGACGTTTTAAACACGGCCCAAATAAGGTCCAAATAAAAGGCAGAAAAATGAAGGTCTGAGTCCGATGACCCTGAACCTCGAGCAAAGGAAGGGTTTCAGAGAAAGTTCAACTTTACTCCATAGGGAACCCTCTCGATATGATCCCGTATGTTCGATGATGGCAAACCACTTCTTTCAAGCATAAAACATACCCTTTCTACGATTACTAATTCTTAAGGGGGGACCCTGGTGAAACTTTCAGGTAGGCTTTAAAATAATCCCAGAAAGTTGAAACTTTGCTTAGTTATTGGGTTCATTATGGTGGGTTCCCAAAACAAAATTCAATCCAAAATGTTGAACGGTCTCTGAGAAAAGTGGCTTTTTAGTGTTTTTCAGAACGTTGGGGAAAAATCTTCCTGCGTCTTTCATTGGAACGGAAAGTCTTGAAAATTTTTTTGGGTTATCCTAAAGATGTATGGAAGAGATTTTAGTGACGGAATTTTCAAATTCAACTTCTGTCCTGAAATATGAATTTTCAAATTTTAACATTAAAAAAAGTGAATTTTTAGCCTTTTTTCAAACATTTAGGTGTTTGTAAAAAAAAGTAGGGCTGATATTGAGATTCCGTCACTAAAATTTGTCAACAAGTCATCAATGACTAGAGTCCATGCAAGACGACTCATGTAGGTGTCAACCAGGAACGCAGGAAGTCTTTCTACGACAAAAGTTTTTGTCGACTGAGCAAAGCTGTGAAGTTGAGCGTATAAGCCAACAACTGATCTCAATGATAATTCTTTCCAAATGAAGAAGGAACTACCCACATAGTTTAAAGGTGTTCAACCCGTTGAATCTAAAACCTTCTATGCACATTTTTATCTATGAACTTAAAAAATACTACTTTTGGCAGTTTTGGCCATTTTTTCACCAGGGTCCCCCCTTAAGCTGCCGATTGTGCCAGAAAAGTCCTGATTATTTCGTGGGCAACTTTAAGCACTTCCACATGCACTTCACCAAGAAAACCTTGAAGGTCCGCGGCGTACCTGGCATCGTCATCGTCCTCGGTGCCGAAGAAGACTTCAATGTCACTGCACTCGCGGCACACGCACGACTCGCCGCACAGCCCCACGCACGCGTGCCCACACCGCTTCAGCACGCGCCGGCACGGCTCGCTGCAGGGGCCTTCGGGGCAGGGCTCGCCGCACAGGCTGGGGCACTTCTTGTGGGCGCACTTCATGTCGCAGCGCTCCTGGAACGCGAGGAAGGATAAACGCTTACACACTGAATGTTATGTACAGTACAATTTTGTACGACACAACACAGTTTTTAGTGCACACGAACTTTTCGTACAAATTTTGTACAAATAACAGGAAAAGTAGCGATATACATCGGCAACTTTGGCCCGTCCCGTACATTAAGAAACGTACGAATTTCGCCTATGTTTGACCCTGACGGGAATTAAACCTGAGTCTGGGGTTAAAATAAATGTCGTTTTCGTCATCAGCACCCTCGAAAACATCAAAAACAATGCAAAAACTCGAATAAAAAGAATGTTCAAAAAATACTCCGCTGGGATTTGAACCCGGGTCCGAAGTTCTCCGATTCGCTCGAAACTGGCACCATTGGTTTTCTCTCGTCGCCCCGATTCCAAAAATACCCATACATGCCCTCCTAGCTGCATCCGTTGCCGAGATCCTCCTCGACCCCAAGTAGACCATGATGCACCTGCAGCAGCGCCCCCGGGGCTCGGATCGGATTTGCTGCCACCGGGCGGTTCTTAGGGTCACCCAAGGAGGCTGCATACCAAATTTGGTCAAGATCGGTCCACGGGAAGTCCTCGGACGGACGGACGGACGGACGGACGAACGAACGGACGCACAGCAGGGATCATACTATATGCCCGTCCCTCCGTCATTTTTTTACAAAAAATAAACGGGACGGGCCAAAAACTGCACGTTTCCCCATATTTGTGCAAAATCACGAACATATTTGAACGAAAATTTCGTGTGCACGAAAAACAGTCATGGCTCGTACAAAATTTGTCCAAAAACATATAAGGTGGAGTCACGTCACATCCATTTGAATGTCGAACCACGTTCAAACGAAAGTGACATCCTAAGCGCCGTGTAAAGTTGAAGCGAGTGTCACGTCACGTCGTATCCAAACGAACGTGACAAAGTGCACTGTGCGAAAAAACCACAGGGAACCCCGTTAATTTTTTTGCCGGGATTTACTGCAGTTCAGAACCGAGGGGGCCACATCCCCCGTAATCCTGTGTACAAATTGGCTGGTAATCTCTGGTAATCCATGGCGTAATCACGTAATCCTTGACAAAATTCTGTCATTTTTCAACGTTTTTAGTCATTTTTCAACGTTTTTGAGCTATTTTTCAACGTTTTCGAACCAATTTGCGAAAATTTCACGCGTAATCCCTAGTAAATTTCCCGTAATCCCGTAATCTTGTGTACGCCTGAAATGAGAGTGGTGGCCCCCTCGTTCAGAACCTAGGATTTACTGTGCCTGGCTACAGTATTTACTGTACCTGGTACAGAATATTCCGTACTCCACTCCTGTGGAGTACTGTAAATCCCGTACAAAGTACAGTAGTTCCTGTAAGAAAGCACAGTAAATCCTGTACTCTGAACTACAGGATTTACTGTGATTTTTTTCCACAGTGTGCGCATTCGTGCCACTCGTTGAGCACAGTGAGCACTGTCCTCACCTTGCATGGCGCGCAGCGTTCGCCGCAAGTCCTCTGGCACTTGGTGTGGCGACACTTGACGAGGCACGGCTTGCCGCAAGGAGGGCAGCTCGCGGCGCAAGGCGCCTCACACCTGACGGGAGAAAACGACAGACTTTGATCCAAACAAATGTCGCACATCGCCAAAATTTCAGCCCTGTGGCCTTATGGTTGCACCAGGAGGAGGATCGTTTATCGGGGCCCAAGGCTATTCAGTCGCAATCATTTATCAGATACGATAAGCTCATCAACAATCTTTATATGTTTAAGAACAATGATGAATGTGGTGATACATGATTTCACTAAAATTCAAAGGGTGAGACATCTGACCGATTTTCGGTGATACAAAAAGTATGACCGAAAAACGGTCATACACAAATGTATGACCGAAAAACGGTCATACACAAATGTATGACCGAAAAACGGTCATACTTAAATGTATGACCAAAAAAAGGTCAGACATCAGCGAGACTGGCTATTGTTTAGCTTGGGGATATATCAGCCTTTACCCGTGATACACTATAAAGTATGACCGTTTTTCGGCCATACATCGAAGCATGACCGTTTTTCGGTCATACATCGAAGTATGACCGTTTTTTCGGTCATACATCGAAGTATGACCGTTTTTCGGTCGTACATTTCAGTAAGACCGTTTAAGCGGTCAAAAGTATGACCTTTCTATTTTCAGTGTTCAAACAAGAGAAACGTTTTGCGAGCAACTGTTCTCAGATTTGCATAAGATAATGCATTTTCTCGAAGAATAATATAGTGAAAGTTCCTCGTATGCACAAAGTCGTGCAAGTTACACGTACAGTCCACATAAAAATGTAGTGTGCAGAGTTCAAATTACTGGAAAGGTACAGTGAAAATAAAACAGACTTCCGTCATCCTAACAGTAGATGGATGGAAAAAGGGAGCAACCCTAAACGCAAACGTTAGGATTCTAAGAACAAACTGTAAAACTGCAAGATCCGTAACTTGAGACACGCGAGCGTTCAAGAGTTATTGAAACGCTAAAGGCTTCGTCATACTGTGATGCGCGTGCTCTGCTCACACTTTCAAGAAAACGAACTCGAGAGAGCATTGACTCTACCGACGAAAACAGGAAATACTTACACATGCCCACACAAGAGAGGCCGATCACATTTGCTCTTGCAGGCCACGTGGAAACGTCCTTGAAGACATTTGCCGCAAGTCCCAGCGCATGGGTGCTCACATTCCAGGACCTTGGTGCAAGGCTCGTTGCAGAGGGCCAGCAGTTCGGGGCTGCTCGGGTCTGCAAAACACAAGGCACTCACGGCAAAGGCGCTTGATGTGGCAGACAAGGGGAAATCTCTGAGAACTTCAGTGTACAAATCAAATGAATTTCAGTTGAATTATCGATAAATTTCGGGAAAAACTACTGAATCTTGAGAAAAATTTAGACAAATTTTAATAAATTACGGTGAATTTCTTTTTTTTTGTTTATTATGGTTTATTAATTTGGCTAGAGTAGTTGTTTCCCCTTGGTGGCAAACAAACGGGCGGAAACATACGAACAGAACGTGTCTACGGAGGGCATTCAAGGCAAATGCATCCATCTTCGGTCGCATTCATCAAAGGGACGAAACCCAAACACCTCTAGTTTGTTTTGTTGGAAGAAACTTAAGCGCACATAAGCTTACAAAGCGAACAGTTCGCAAATTAGCAACGGTTTCGCCGCATAACTAAGTCAATTAGTTGGTACTATAAGTCTTCAAAACATTCCGTAAGGTTTTGAGTACCTTGTCAACTTTGTTTTTGTTTTAAATATATTTATTAAGGGGTCAGCTAACTTCACTCGTGTAAATCTTGTCAGAATGTCAGAAACCTGTCTGAAAACCTGATCAAGATTAGCGCACCTCTGAAAGCTGAAAACATCTCCTGACAGTCTGTAGAACTCAAACCATCAAAATCAGAGTAAGTTTTCAGAATTTCAGCTTTCAGAGGTGCGCGAATTTTGATCAGGATTTCAGACATGTTTCTGATATTTTGACAAAATTTACACGAGTGTTCATCACGGTAACCACACCAAAACCCTTACCGTGGTTGGACGCGCAGGGGACCATGATGCGGTGGCCGCAGGCGGGCAGGCCGCCGCGGTAGACCACCAGCTGGGCGCACTCGCCGTCCGCACACGCCGCGCCGCACGCCAGGCCGCAGGGGTGGCCGCACGGCAGGGAGCGCCGGCAGGGCTCGCCGCAGTCCGCGAACAGCGCCGCGTCCACGCTGCAGGGCACGGGCTGAGTGTGGCCGCACCGCGGCAGCTCCTTGTCCACCTGGGAAGCGAACCAAGTCAGGTACACTGTCAAAATGTGAGTCGTCACTTGATGACAATGTCAAGGATACACGGTACCAACGGTTCCTGGTTTTCCCAGGAACTCCCTGGAAATCGCCTATGCCTTCACCATTGGCTTCCTGGGAAAACCAGGTTCCGTTTTTACCGTGTAATTATCCTTACAACAATATCATCGAAACAAGCGATGACATTGTTGTCACGCCCATGCAATAAGTATAGGCACTGGTAAAACTAAAGCGTAGTATTACCCTCTGTTTTCAAGCGTTTTCAGTTTTTGCTTGAAATCAAGCGTAACAGGCTCATTCGCCAAGATTCCCCCTATCTAAATGCATGGGAGAATTTCCAGAGTATGCTTCATTTCAAGCGTAACGTCTTAAGGGGGCAGTAGCACTTGGTGCACGCTTTTTCATTTTTTTTCGAATTTTCTGTTTGCACCTGAATTAAAAAGACTTCCATGAATGCTAGAGACAAACGGCAGTAACCATGTAAAAGATCAATTTTTTTGCAACAATTTAAAAAAAAAGTATTTTGTTTTAGCATAAGGGGAGGCACCTATATGAGGGACGTAAAAAAGGTCTGCAAAATCATACGTGGTGTCACTGCGCGCACGATTTCAGCCAAAGTTTTCAACATTTTTTCAATCGGTAAAGTGCATAAAAAGAGCATAAAATTTCATACAAAATGAACCACGGGGGTTAATATCGGATGAAAAATGCTACTGGATATTTAGTATCGAACAAGAAAAATGCATTCAATGGAAAATTTGTGAAAAACGACCTTTTTCTACCAGCGTTTTTGGCCCGATATTAACCCCCGTGGTTCATTTTGTAGGCAATTTTATGCTCTTTTTTATGCACTTTACCGATTGAAAAAAAGTTGAAAACTTTGGCTGAAATCGTGCGCGCAGTGACACCATGTATGATTTTGCAGACCTTTTTTACGTCCCTCATATAAGTGCCTCCCCTTATGCTAAAACAAAATACTTTTTTTTGAAATTGTTGCAAAAAAATTAATCTTTTACATGATTACTGCCGTTTGTCTCTAGCATTCATGGAAGTCTTTTTAATTCAGGTGCAAACAGAAAATTCGAAAAAACTTGAAAAAGCGTGCACAAAGTGCTACTGCCCCCTTAAAGCGTAACTTTATGCTTGACGCAAGCATAGAGTTACTACACTTTAGTTTTACCAGTGGGGGCTTTGATGAAAATGTCATCAATTTGTGATGAGGTGGTCATTTGAAAGTGATAACAAAATCATCAGCCTTTCTCGCGAAAGCTGTAGTTCCCGATAAAACTAAGCGACTGCGTGTCTCTTTGAGAGAGGAGAGCGCCTGCGAAGTTCGGGATAGGCCACACGGAACGCTCCGGAGCGATTCTCACGTTTCGGGGTAGTTTCGTTTCTTCTGACTCCTGTGCCCAAACGAGCGCAGATATCGACATGGGGTTTGTTTCCGATGTTAGGGAGGGCCATTGCCCACTAAACGCACACATTTCGAAAAGTTCACGTTCGTTGGATTGGTCTACGTAGCGTTTGGAATACCCCAAATGTAACTTCCGTGATTGTCCAAAGAGAACATACTCGAACTTCCCGCCCCCAGTGTGGCGGTGGGGTTCGAAAATGCTGCCAACTGTCGATGGGGATTCGAAGCTTGGCATGTCTCGAGCTGATTTCAACCGAAGACCAAAACGCCAGACTTCTTTCAAAGGTACTTATGCTGCAACGAAAAATGTCCTCCGTATATTCAATTTCACTACACAAATTTCGAAAAGGCAGCTCTGGACTTCTCCCCAAGCCAAACTTTTAACTTTCCATGACACAAGCCATCAAAGTGGAGTCCCTGGGATATAATTGCATGGGTCGCGGAAATCTAAGATGCTGTACACGGTCTCAAAGCGGGCTAGAGCATTATAAAATGGCGTGTATCAACAATTACCTGTAACTTCCGTGGCACCCTTTACCCAATGTTGCAGCAGCACTAGGTGAAAAAATTTTCCGCTTAAATGTCGGGCTTAGAGTATCATTTGACCCTGGCACGACTTTTAAGCCACAGCAAGCCCGAGTCAGCCGTTAAAGCCGATTTTCACACTTTGTAACTTCCGTGATAACGTAATTTCCGTGATCAAAACACCCACTAAAACATATGGGAATACCTTATGGCTCATGTTTTTAGGAAGGTAGTACAAGGTCTTTACTATAAATACCGTTGCCATAACTCTAGTATCATCCAGGACCCGAATAATCAGAACAACTTAATTGGATATTTCTCACTTTCGGCAAATCAGAGACGCCAAAACTACCCCGAAACGTGAGAATCGCTCTCCGGTGTTGGGCGGCCCTGCCTGCTGTCTTGCCCGCATTACCATTAAGGGCTAGACCACACACGATCGTGCGCTTCCCCACGTCGTCGGCGCTAGTGCTAATGATTGTAGGAAGCGCTAAGCGCGCAAACACGTCAGGTTGAAATTGAATTTGGCTAGGAACGGCAATTAACCTGATCAGTTTTAGTGCAAACTTCACTGTCAGAAATTTTGTCGTAAATTAGCGACAAAAACGTCGCTAATTTTGATGGCGACAGAAATCGTTCTGAAACTACTTGGTCGTAACTGAACGACAAAATAACCATTTCTCTACGACAATGTCGTAATCGCGATTACATATTTTGAAATCTGAAATCCCCGAAAAGATGATGAAAAGTTGCAATTTTGCTCGCTTATTTACGATTTGTGTCGTTCATTTACGATTCAGGACACAAATTTACGACAAGATTCGTAAATGTACGACTGAAGTCATAACTGCACGACATATTCAAAAGATAAATTACGATCGTTCGTAAACTTACGATTAAGTTGTAAATTTACGACTTAATTAGTTTCAAAACGGAACGTCTCGCTATCAAAATAGCGACAAATATGTCGTAAATTTACGACTCAAGTCGTATATTTACGACTTGAGTCGTAACAAAATATGTCGTTTTAAAACGACATAATTGTTCTACAAAATGTCGTAAATTTACGACTATTTTTAACAGTGAATTGCGTCGAAGTCCGAAAAGTTCGTGTGCACACTAAATTCTTATGGAATTTTTATGCATAGTTATGCATGCACAGATACGTCCATATGTTATGTATAATATTGTGCATCACTGTGTACATTTTATGCAGGAAGACGCATAAAATGTGCACAGTGATGCATAATTTTATACATACCTTATGGACGTTTAGGCGCATGCATAACTATGCATAAAAATGCGTCCTTATGCATTTAAAAAGTCCATAAGAATTTAGTGTGTGCACAAAAAACTGTGATGTCTCGTACGAAATTCGTACAAAAACATTTAGGGAGCTCCTTGACCTCTCCCTCGCTCTCACCTTGACCTTGCAGGGCCCGCACGGCAGGCGGCACTTGTTGGCGCAGCGGTGGCCGCACCGCATGGTCCGGGTGCACTTCTGCGTGCAGTGCTCCGCCAGGGGCGCGTCCACGCACGGCAGGCGGCGGCTGTGTCCGCAGGGCAGGTCCTTGGGCACCTCCACGTCGCACGGCTCGCAGTCCTCGTGGCACAGCCGCCGGCACTTGTGGTCCGCGCGGCAGCCTTCGCGCCGCTCCTCGCACGGCTTGCCGCACTGGTACTGCAACACCCAACACGCCCCGCACACTCAATGTTTTTGAACAAATTTTGTACAAGACATCACAGTTTTTGGTGCACAGGAACTTTTTGTACAAATTTGTACAGAAGTTTGTACAATTTTGTACAAAAATGGTGAAAAATGTGCAGTTTTTCATACGAAAATTATACAATAATTTTGTGTACACAAAAAACTGTGATGTCTCGTACAAAATTGTACATAACATTTGGTGTACGCCGAGTAGCTAACACGAAGTTCTGCCACCACGATGGTGCACTTGGAAACATGGGAATCGCTCCAGAGCGATTGATTGTGAGTTTGAAAAAAAAATTCTTCCACAGCCGTTAGTAAATATACTTTGTAACATCATTTTTTTGGTGTAGAAGGATCAAGATTTTATGATATTTGCATTAAAAACCTTTCAGACACGGTACGCTTCATTAAGACATTAAGCAAAGTGACTTCGGCCAGTTTTTGGAAATTTTGTAGAAAGTTAACATTTTAAATTTTCGTCTGGTAAGATTAATTTTTTCTTCTTGAAAACTATTGCAGATTAATAGCCCATTCTCACTGACACTACGAGGGATGAGTCCCCCCGATTCCCCCCCCCCCCCAGATCTCAGCAAATATGCGAACAAAATCAAACCAAAATTTGAAATGTAACAACAAAATTTCCAAAGAATGTCAAAAGTCACTTCACTTTATGTCAGAATGACGCTTACCTTGCCTAACTGGGGTTTTAATACAGAAATCATAAAATATTAATCCTTCTACACCAAAAAAATTGTTTATACAAAGTGCTTTTAATATGTATGAGCCCCCTTAAAGTGGGTCGAAACGAAAAGAAGCGGTAGCTGCAATTGAGCTTAAAAAGCCAAATCTGTGAATTTAATTTTACACATCTGGCGCCCTTAAAAGTGGGGCGGGTGACAAACGCGCCCAGTTTCAGGGCAAATTCATGCCAAATGTAAAGTGTACACCGAGAAAACCTTACAAACTATTTCAGGCCTTACAAAGAAAAGCAGCTTGTTATGAAGAAGTGTTTTGAGCATACAAAAGCTTACACGGAAAATACTTCGTAATTGACGAACTATTTCTTTGTGTACAACAGAGTAAACAAGTTTGTACTATGCATGCTCAAAATACTTCGTAATGTTTAAACGGTGTAGTGCCTCCCACCTGCTCGTGTTGAGGGTCGTCCAGGACGTGGCACTTGCGTTCGCAGGCGTGGCCGCAGTCGACGCGGAACTCGCACGGCACTCGGCACGCCAGAGCGGCCACGCCGTGTCTCTGCCAGCACTTGCCGCGCTGCTTGTGTCCGCACGCCGGCAACACCAGGTCCACCTCGATCTGTCGAAAGACAAACGGTCACGAAAGGAGCAATGCACATAGATTGGAAAGACTGCGCGCCAAAATATGGCGACGACACATATAGTCTCGCTAAGTTCAGGTCAGACCTGAAAGCCTCGCCGAAATCTGGTCAGATACAAAAGTCACGCCAAAATTTGGTCGGCTACCAAAGTCTCGCTACAAAATGGTCAGACGAAAAAGTCCCGCCATTACATGGCGCGGCATAAAGGCCATACGAGCAGGACGGCAAAAGAGGCCAGGGTTCTTAAAGCTAATTTTAACGTAAATGGCCCACATTTTTTTCAACATTTTTTGATAAAATTAATTTTAATCATTACTTTGATTCTCTTCGTTGGAATAGACTCAGAAAGGTTCAAATATTCTACGAAAATTTTCAGTTCGATGAACATAGGAGGACGAGAAGTCAAAATTAACGGCGTTTATCAACGCCGTGATGAGTTGGGGCCACAGTCATTATCGCTGAGGTAGGCGGTAGGCCCTTCTGCCTGCACTGCGCGTAATCACCCTGCTGGCTGAATCAGCATAAAATGTCTGCCGTGTAGTCCACACCCTCGTACCTGACACTTGTGGTCCTCGGGGTCCGTGTGGCAGGGCATGGTGACCATATGGCCGCAGGACAACACGGCCTGTTTGGGCACCTCGCAGGGAGGGCAGTCTTCGTAGCACCGCGCTCGGCAGGGGTGGCCACGAGCACACGCTACTTTCACGCAGTTCTCCTGGCACCTGGTGGGGAGCACGAAAAAGAGTGAGATTGGATCAGAGAGGTTCAGACGACCGATATGACCACCTCTATTGGTCTTAGTCAACTCTCTTCACGCATGCTGAGAGAGAATTCTCGGTGACACTTTATTTTAAACTGGAAAGACAACAGAACTCGACTAGGTGGACTTTTCCCAATTTAGCATCGTGGTTGAAAGCAAAAACATCAAAACGCATATTAAATTGAAACAGGTGAATTAACATAATAAAAAAAAACAAAGATGAAGAACGATCCAAGTGCATTGAACGAATTTGATTGATAAACTTCCCCCGAATCTGGTTCTGCACCAGATTCTAAAGGGAATAACTCAAAACATCGCACAGAAAAAAAATATTTTAAAGGAAAAAACAGAAAAATGACTTAAAAATAACTTGAACTCGTGTCAAAATAATTCACTCAAGCTTCGACACATCCAGCCCAATCCAGCGCAAATTCACCAGTAGTTAAACAAAATTATCTATCCATATTCGGGGTCTAGAACAGCCGACCACACTCTCACTGACCACGTCCCCCACTCACCACACCACTGACAAGTGACCACTTTGTACTCTGACCGCGCGTACAAACTGGTCACACTCTGACCCCTAAATACTGACCACAAAAAGTCAAAAAATCCAATATTTATTTAAGTTTAATGAGAAAATGGCCCTTAGAAAGTCGATGTCAAAACGTTGATAAAAAGGGTCCTTTTAACATGTAACTGACCAGGAGCGAAAATAAATCAAGATTAATAGGCTAAGAAACCTCCATTGCAAGCTACGTTTTTCAAAGCAATAGTAGTTCCCTCTTGAGCGCAACCACCTACTTGTACTTGACGTGCTGCAGGTCGTCCGGGTGGCACACTTGCGGACAGACATGGCCGCAGCGCAGGTCCACGTCGCACCGCCGCATGCAGCCGCCCTGGGGGCACTGCTCGAAGTCCTCGGCCGAGGCCACGGCCGTCAGCTGCCCGTGCACCTCGCAGCGCAGCACCAGGTTCGGACCCACCGCCGCCTGACGACGCAACTCGGCGTCCACCGCGGTCCACACCGACTCCTTGGACGTGAGGGTCGACATGTTGCCGACGATGAAGAAACCTGAAAAGCGTGGAAAACAAGGTGCAAACAGCTTGAATTGAGGTGTACAGTTTCCTTGAAATAACGTGGAAAAACGGTGAAATTACGGTAAAATTACATTGAAATAACGCGAAAACGTGAAATATCGGAAAATAAAGTCTCAACACCCTGAAAATAACGTTGGTATGAAAACGAAAGACCTTGAAAGAATGTGAATTTGAAATAATGGTGTACACATTTTGACGAAGTTGTTTGCCCCTCGGTGGAAAACAATCCATTAGATGAGTCACCACAATCACCCTTCAAATGGCTGATGCACATTTGTTGCCGAAAAATTCATCACGATCCGAAATAGGTGGCACGTGTTTTGTTGCCCAAATCTGAGTGACGTCATCGGCAGCGTTGTGAGGTCCCCGATGACGCCCTTCCAAGGCCACCGTGATGATCCCCATGTGTTCTTTACTTAAATTCGACATAAATTTTTGACCGCCCAAAATGAAGTCACTCCTGACATGTCACCCAAAATTGGGCGACGGTGCGTGCGTCACTTACCCAGTCCCAAAAAACCATGGATTGCATGGGATCCCATGACACAAATCCCATGACAGCGCACTGAAATCCCATGAGACTGCGGTTCAGCACCATGGACAAGCGGCATGCCATGCAAAATGAAGGTCGTTTCCCATGGTGCAGGCCTAGCACCATGGGAGGACCTCCCCCATGATGTGAACTTTTCCATAGGTCCAGACTTCCCATGGGAAGGCAGTCCTGCTCGTGCGTTAAGTCTCCGCCTTATTTTCAATTATAGGTCCATAAATTGTCAACGGTTGCCCTCCAGAAAAACATGATTGCAAAATCGGATGGTAGCGTCAAAAGTTTAGGGGTTGACAGTGACATTTCACCTGTGAAATGTTTAAATCCAGATCAGGCACTGATCGCATCATTTTGTACTCGCAAGGGACTCTGCCAAGGCAAGGAAGTGCTTCCCATGACTCACACTCTATGGTATTTTTCCCCATGAGTCGCAAGACACCATGAGAAGTTGTTCCAAAAGTCACGGGGAATCGTTCCCATGGAAAGAATCGGCCCATGGCATCCCATGCACCGCCATGGCTCATGGGATGCCCCATGGTTTTTTTGGACTGGGTAATGAAAGAGCAATGGGAGCTCCTGAAGGAAATGTTAGTGTAAAGCGTCCCTCATTTACAGAACCTAATTCTTTTGCAGCCGACACGGTCGAGACTTGTGCAGTTTGATCTTGAGGAGAGGGTAAAAATTCCCGATTCTGTTACGATCTGCCCCTCCGTCCTTTCTGCCTGAGACAAATGCTACCAAAGCAACCTTCAGTAAAGAGATTCGGTAATGTACTAAGGTTCTTGGTTCTTCATGAAATTACAATGCGAAATTTCGAACAACCTTTAAGAATTGAATTGTATTTTAAAAGACGTATAGTCGTCAACCCCTATTTTGTTTTCCTTGCAGCTGAGAGATGGGTTCACTGGGAAAACTAAAGCGTAATATTGCCCTCTGTTTTCAAGCGTAATCAGGTTACGCTTGGAATCAAGCGTAACAGGCCCAACACTGAGAAAACCTTACAAACTATTTTGGGCCTTACAAAGAAAAGTAGTTTGTATAACAAAGTATTTTGAGCATACGTAAGCTTACAAAGAAAATACTTCGTAATTTACGAACTATTTCTTCGTATAACAAAGTATTTTAGTTTGTTATATGTATGCTCAAAATACTTCGTAAGGTTTTAAGAGTGAACCGCCAAGATTCCCTCTATCTAAATGCATGGGGGAATTTCCAGAGTATGCTTCATTTCAAGCGTAATGTCTTCAAGCGTAACTTTATGCTTGACTCAAGCATAGAGTTACGGCTTAGTTTTACCAGTGTTGCCACGTACGTACCATGCCTGGCCCGAGACAGCGCCACACAGGCCCTGTTCTCGATGCCCACGTAACCCAGGTTGCTGCGCGGGTTGCTGCGCACCAGGGACAGCAGCACGATGTCGTTCTCCTCGCCCTGGTACTCGTCCACCGTCGTGATGCGAATCTCGCGCAAGTGCGACTCCACGGGGCGAAGCTATGGGAGCAGAACAGACAGTTGAGGATTGATCGTGAACCAAACAGTCCATTAAAACGTGACGTCTGCAACTGATTTTTTTTAAAACAGAAAACCATAATTGCTTTGGTTCAAACATTTTTTAACAGAACAGGAGTTAAATGTTTAAATTTCCTGAATGAAATTAGTTTTAGGATCTTAAGTGAAACCCAATGAAAGTCGCAGGAGTTATTATTTTGGCTATTGATCCAAAAAACACTTAAGTGGGAATTTTGACGAAAACCACTTAGCATTTTGAGTCGATTGTTGTTTTAAGAATTCACCACACTTCACCTAACAATTGCAAAAGTGTTTCAACTTTAAGGAATTTTTTAAGGTTTTTCATTACAGTTTTTTCAAAGTTTCACTAGGGTTTCCACTAAAATTCCCCAATTATTGGCAAAGTAAAAGCCATGACGCATGAAATATAAGAAAGCTGGGTGCTCTCAAGGCAGGGGAGTGATGATGATAAATTTGATTACCTGCTTGGTGAGATAGTACAGTTGCCCCTTGTACGTGCAGAGCACAGTGATCTTGGACGGCTCGTAGCCTTGCAGCAGGAAGTAGCGCACTAGTGCTGAAATGAAGGTCGCTTCGTGAGGGTTCTGGAAGCTGGGAGCGTCCTTCAGGTATGTTGGCTGCAATGAAGTTCAGAAAAATGTTTTCATGCACCTTGAATGTCACGAACTTGAAGAACCCGTGTAAAAGTGAAATAGACTATTCTAGTCGTGGCCAAGTGAAGAACAAGAAGAATCACAAAAGACTCATTAAGGGCATTTAGAGTGCACATATTTACTGAAAATATGTTGTATTTACAATGAAATAGCCTCACTAACTTCTACCAAGCAGAGGTTCTTGAATATTTAAAGTAAAAGTGCTAGCTGTCTTTTGTGATTCTTCTTGTTCTTCACTCGGCCACGACTAGAATGGTCTATCGGTTTCGGAAGTTCCAGACCGAGGTTCTCATGGAGGAGGGGGAAGGACTTTAAGAATTGAACACGATCAGCCGACGAAACTCACCTCTTCCTCAGGGTGCTTGTGGTCAAGGAAAAAGACGTTCTTAGTGACGCCACGAACATCAGGAAAATAGTTCACGGACTCGTGGTTGAGTAGATGAGGGTAGATGTGTGGGCAAATAAGTTTTGCAACCTGTGGACAGGAGCCCGTTTGAGTTCCATCAGAAGCGGAGGGGTGAAAGAGGCGGCATAACGCATTAAGAATAGAACAGTAACCCTTTCACGGTAGAAAACCATTGGTTTACAGTACCTCGGGTCGCATTCGGTGCTGCGTGTTGAGTGTTACGCAGTGAACCTCATTGTTGACTAGGCGCTCAAACATGGAGACGTTCAAATGGTAGTTGTTGGCCAAATCCTGCACAGAGGTGGTGGGGCGCAACTGCTGGTGGTCCCCTTCAAGTCAAGAAACGAGTTACACGAGTAATTAGTATTCACCAAAGAAATAAAAATTGAAGCCAAGGAAAGAATGAAAGGTTCTGTTCTCACCGATCATAATCAGGTGTTCGACATCAACACCAAGCGATGCCAACACAGTAGCCTCAAGAACTTCAGCAGCCTCTTCCACAATAACTAGAAATAAAATTGTTGGAAAAAGAATTCACATTTTTTTGCAACGACAGCATGGTAAAAACTATCCTACAAATGCCGGGCAATAGCATGAATTAAGTTGACTCAACAACACATACGCGTTTACAAATGAGCAAGAAGCTTAACCCACCAATTCTCGGCTTGAGCTGTTTCAGAATACGGTGTCTCATGGCTGCGTAGGAAGTACTCATCCCGATCACCAAATGGTTTGCCATGATGGTCTGATCTTGCACCATTCTGCAAGCGTAAGACAGTTGCGATAAACAGGGAGTCACAACGGCATTTGGAGGTGTTACACGACAGCAGAGAGATAATCTCATCCACTCATTTACCTGCATTCCTGCACTTGTTGAGCGGCATCCAAATATCTAGCACTGATTTCTTCCGCCAGGTTCCCAAATTCAGTCAGCAATTCGTTTCTCCAGAACCTGAGAAGGTAAACAAGCATGTGAAAGACAAGGTGGTTTGAATGTGAGTGCTCAGCGCCAATTACGCTCCACGATCATTCCACAACGAAGAGAAATGCTTGAAAGGAAGTGCACTGAAATTCAAACGGTAAGACATCTGCCTTGACAAAAATTGTCACCGAATGAGGGTCGTACCCGCGCACAATGGTACCGCCGGAAAAGGGTTAACTTGTGTACGACAAAAATAAGGTCAGATAGAAGTGAGACAGGCCCTTGATTCCCTACACCCTTGTCGACCTCTGTACTATTTTCTCTACAATTTTGATTGTTTTGAAGATAAAATTGTCAATAGATCGAGCAGAAATTGAAAAGCACATGGCAAACGACGAAAAGTCACATTTAATGGACTACATACATTATGCAATGAACAAATTAGTGCATAGCCACAGAGAATATAGTACATCATAAGTTTGCTTTAAAAACTTTTTTAGCAAGAAATAGAAAGTGAATACGAGACTGAGAGTGCATCGCTACACTGTAAACCTAACTGTCTATTAAGTACCCACTTACAAATGCGTGCTTGCAAGTACACACTTATAAACGCATGCTTGGTCAAGTACACACTTGTAAGTGTGTACTTGCAAGCATGCATTTGTAAGTGTGTACTTGGCCAAGCATGCGTTTGTAAGTGTGTACTTGCAAGCACGCATTTGTAAGTGTGTACTTGGTAGACAGTTAGGTTTGCAGTGTACCTGTACTGCTGCCAGCGCTCCACAGCCGTCATCTCGGCCAGGTCTTGGGCGCGGACTAGCATGTCCGGCGGCTGCGTCTCGGGGTCCGCCAGCCTCGCCCGGATGGCGTCCCAGTACCGTCGCAGCGCAACGACGGGGGCCATCTCCTCCTCCGCGAGCAACTGCACCACTGCCTCCTCCAGCACCTGCAAAATTGGATACGAAAATGAAAAACAATGCGCTTGTTGTAACCACAGTTAGATCAGATGAGTTTTGAAAGTATAAGTACATTTGCCCCTCAAAATGTGACCCGCAGTCACACGGCAAAAACGGTTCCTGGTTTTCCCAGGAACTCCCTGGAAATCGCCTATGTCTATCCTATGGACTTCCTGAGAAAACCAGGATCCGTTTTTGCCGTGCATGCGGCAATTCGAAACATGATGTAAAGCAGTCTCCATATTTAAGGCAGGAGACGCTAGCGCGGGTCCAGCTGACAGCCTTAGTGCCGATTGGGATAATTTCGAAACACGCATTTCTTAAAAAGGTACAGCTGTTTTCTGGTCAAAATTTGTCATTAAAGGACGCATGCTAGACCTCGTGTCATATTTATGACATAAAAGGCGCGTTATGGAAAATGTTTTTCATCCAGGAAACAGCGATCCTATTTTCAGCTCGTGTCGCAAAATTACCCCAATCGACCGACCCTACACTGTGTCTTGCGGTGAAAGGCTGCACCAACATATTTGGGTGGAGATTTTCTCCATAATACAAACAAAACTCGTCAAAAAGTCTATAAGGTATATAGTGAATACTCATTGGCATGTTAAGTCAGCTGCACCACCATAATAGGGAACATTTTCATCATAATATAAAGAATCTTCACTATAGAACATTTAGAGAGTACAGCTAAACACGCACCTGTCTGGAGACGGCGTACGTCACAGTCCTCCGAAGCGCCGCCAGGTCCTCGCCCTCCACGCAGGTGAGGTCCAGCGAACTGGGGTTCCAGATTGTCTGCCCGCACTCGCCAACAGGAACACCCGCGCGGCCCAAGAGCCACACTTCGATGGGCAGAGTCTGGAAGAAGTCCCGCTCCGCTTCCGTGATGATGCCGAACGAGTGCAGCGACGCTGGGTGGACCAGGCCGCCGTCTTGGCGCAGGAGCGTGTAGCAAGTCCGGACGCAGTCGTGGACCTGCTTCAGGTCGACGAACCTCTTCTTGTGGGCGGCGATCATCTGGAACAGGGCGTACGCGCCCTGGATCTTCTTGCGACGCAGATGGAAAATGTCGAACGGTTCCAATGAGGGCTCCCTAGATGGGGACAGAAAATGGCACACGGTAAAAACGGTACCTGGTTTTCCCAGGAGCCCTATGGCGATGACATAGGCGATTTCCAGGGGGTTCCTGGGAAAACCAGGAACCGTTTTCACCGTGCAGGCAGGGTGATATACGTTTAATTTTCTTTCTTACATCTACCTGGTAACATTTTGGTTGTGACTATTGACGGCTGCGTTGCGTATAGTATGAAACGAGTTGATGAAATAGTTTTCACGTTCATGCAAGAAGTATAGGAGCCTTGATGGACATGTAATCAACTTGTTCAGAATTCGCACCGTATTCAAGCAATCGCGAGGATGACAGTGCAAGCGAAGGGTAACGAAAGGGCTTTCACGGTTCATACCTGCAAGGATTGCCCACCCTGACCAAACTCTGGGTAAAGGGTAGCAGCCCCATGAGGAACTGGTCCAACGCGTGGTTCGTAGAACAGAGGACCAACAGCGGTCGGGGCTGCATGGAAGATCTCCAGAGGTATTGATTCAGAAGCAGCGTCCGCGCCACTTGCAGACCAAGGAAAGTCTTTCCTGGAATTAATGACAAAATGCGTCATTTTCGCAGTGTGCCTTACACTGTTAAAAATCCACTGTAATATTACAACACTGGAGTGTTCTTAAATTACAACAGTTGCTTTTTGGTGTCTGAACGGGAAGTTTATCAATAGACAACTCTTTTGATGTACTACAACTCTCTCATCGTTTTCTGGTCAGAGTATAGCGTATGATACTTGTCACACTGGATGACAGTGCACTCACCTGTCCCCGGCGGTCCCTGCACCAGCATCACCTTGTTGGTGAGGGCGCCCTGCAGCGCCACGTACTGCGACTCGTCCAGGCCGAGGCTCTCCGCCGACGGCCACGCCTCCAGCTGCGTCACGTCGCCCAGCACGATGGAGGCGCCGGGCGTGGGCAGGGTCAGGCTGGCGCCCTGCGGCAGGTAGGCCGGCAGCACGCGGGCGTTGCTGGCGTCCACCAGGTACTCCTTCAGGGGCAGCGACGCCTCGTCCAGGGCCTGCAAGGCAGCGGGCGCGTTAAATGCGTTACGGTTTTATCGACGAACAAAAACACAAACAACATGTCGTCAGATTATCTGCGCAGTCCCTCATACGCGGTCAACAGTACAGCTATTGCGATGGGTCCTATGAACAAAGACCGATGTCTTTTGGGTCGCTCAAACAAAGACCGATCTCCTTCGGGTCGCTCGAACAAAGACCGATCTCCATTTCCGCCGTTCCTGCATTCGCCGCTTCTTTATCATGTAGTTCTCGCAACAGACATCCAACTCAAACAAAAGTTTGAAGGATTTGTTCCTAACATATTAGAGAAGGATTATCTTAAACTCATTTGTGTGGAATCAAAACGTAGAGATTGTTGTGGGACTTCAAAATGAACGCGTTGAGAGGTTAGGAAATGGAGATCGGTCTTTGTTCGAGCGACCCAAAGGAGATCGGACTTTGTTCGAGCGACCCAAAGGACATCGGTCTTTGTTCATAGGGCCCATCGATTGGTGCGATTTTCCGGAAGTTTCATATCAAGAACATCACTTTCGGATTTTAAGTGCAAAACAAAAAAGAAAAAGCCGAATGTACAAAAGGAAATCCTTCACAATACGCAGAGAAACTGCGTACGTAATATGCTTGCGCCATTTTCTACGGGCCTGATGTGCTACTTAAATTGAGAGCGTGGGCTCCCACGGTCCATCTGACATTTAAAGTTAACTTAAGAGGCAAAATCATTAAAAACCATTCGAGAAATTTAAACAAATTTGTACGAAAAGCATGCACACGTAGAATTGTTTCAGGTCAAGTGTCTATAAAAGCCACATGCAGTTACAATACTTAACTAATTCTCAGTGCTTTACGACCATAATACTGAGAAATTCGTGCATAATATGTAGAAACTGGTCACAAGTTACTAAAAGCACTCTATTACTCTGTGCTGTACCACCCTCGCCAAGCTTTTGTTTGAATTACACACTAAATTACTTTTCCGTGCGTTGCTGCGCACAAATTCGTGTATTTTGATATACATGCACAGATTCGTGCACTGCTTAGGCACAAAAAAACTACATTATGATTCAGTGTGTGCGAAACAAAGCTCAGTGGGATCCTGAGAGAGTGCACGTACCTGCAGGGCGCGCAAGGGGTGCAAGTAGGCGCCGAAGAACACGACGCACTCCACCATGAGGAAGGTGCCCTCGAAGAGGTCCTCGCTGACGGGGCTGTCGCAGAGCTCCACCACCACCCTGCCGTTGGCCAGCTGGTTCACGTCCCGCTTGCTGACGGAGGCCAGGATGACGTTGGAGAAGGTCATGTCCCGGGACAGCAGCAGCAGCGCGCCCTTGATGAGCCTCCTGGTGTACTCCCAGTTGACGCGCGTCAGCTTGCCGTCGGGGTCGAACACCAGCTCCAGGCCCACGCTCTCGTCGGCCGTCAACAGCTTGTCGAACCACACGTTCTCGTAGACGCGGATGTTGGAGACGCGGGGCGGCCTGCCGCCGTTGCCGGCCTCCAGCTTCTTCTGGCAGTACTCGGCGCAGCCCTGGCGCAGCGGCTGCACGAAGTCCTCGCGCAGCAGGCGGAACAGCACGTCCAGGTAGTGGCTGGCGTCGCGGTAGCGGCCGCGCGGGATGATGCGCCGCAGGTAGGGCTGCGCGTCGTCCACCATGTCCTCGGCCGTGGGGTACGCCGACAGCAGCCGGTAGTCGTCCGGGGGCTCCAGCGCGTCGAAGCGGAACTGCCGCACGGGCTGGCGCTTCTCGGGCCTGGCAGCCACGCTCAGCCTGTCCTTCTCCACGGCCAGCTTGGCCTTGACCAGGTCCAGGTCCTTGCCGATGGCCTCCTTGCCCTCGAAGGGCGGCAGCTGGGTCAGCTCCAGCGCCGCCATGCGCAGCATGTTCTGCAGCTTCTCGCAGGCCAAGGTTGGCAGCAGCTTCACGATGCCGTGCGCCAGCCTGCAGAAGTCGCGGTAGAAGTCGGCCAGTGCCGCCAACCGCGCCGCGTCGTCGGAGCAAAGCACGCTGAGCTGCACGATGTGCAGCAGCAGCTGGTCCAGGAAGTCCTTCTTGCACACTTTGCAGAACAGGCGCACGACGAGCGGCTGGTACTCCACCGAGCACAGCTTGGCCAGCACCTTGACGACCAGCCACATTCTGGCTGCGTCCGGCTGCTTCTGCTCAGTCAGCTCCGTGAAGAGGCCCAGGAGGTCCGGGTTGGACAGCCGCTGCAAGATCCTGACGCCGTCCTCCTCGGCCAGGCCCCTGAGCTGGCCGTGACTCATGCGCTCTTGCACCGGCGCTGCTGCAAGCCGAAACCCAGAAGCAAGTTGAATAACTTCACTGGTAAAACGAGACGATAAAACCTACGCCCGTGTGGGCATTACACTGCAGGAAATAACCACAGCAAAAGTACACAAATTTCTGGCAAATTTTTATCAGGAATTTAGTGGACTTTCCAAGTACAACATTGTACAAAGTACATTGTACAAAGTACATTGTACAAAGTGCATTGTACAAAGTACATTGTACAAAGTACAAAGGAACCGGCATGAGGAGTGCTGTGCAGTCCAGGGCTCGTTGTGGTTTGTACAATTCCCGTTGAACTTTCTACAATCCCTGTTGTACAGTTTCTGTTGTACTTTTGTTGTACTATCTACACCTTTTCTTGCAGTGTGCTAGTCTTTCTCGACCTAAAAGGGCGTGTTACGGTTGTGCCTTTGCAAGGGCATCAAAATTTGTCTACAAGTCCTATACTAATAATTCACGCCCCTCCCAAAAGCATGAAATGATTCCATGCCTTTGTTTCACCGGTGTTTACACTGGTAAAACTAAAACGTTGACTATGTGCTTGTGTCAAGCATTCAGATACTCTTGCAGTGTTTAATTTTTTTAACTGAAAATTCAGACTATTTAGACTGAAGTAAATTTGCAGAATAGCCTACAAAAAATTCAAACTAGATCCTGGTCTGAAGTCAAAAAGTCATTTAAAAGTCAAAGAGTCGTTAAAAAGTCATAAGTCAAAAAGTTTCAAGGCAAAACAGTCACAACAAGTAAAAAAAATCAAAATGTCACAATAAAATAAAAATAATCAAAAAGTCTGAAAAAAGTCAAAAAGTCACTTTTGACTTTAAGTCAATGTACGTTCTTCTGCTCTGTTGGGGACCTCTTGGATCGAGCGCAGTGTTTGGAAGTCGCGCATCTTACCGTCACCGTTTCCGGGGTGGCCATCTTGAGGCCCTCCATCGGGTCCTCTCCACCCTCGGCCACGATTGCCGCGATGACCGCCACCGCCCCAGGGCCTGCGTCCGCCTCGGCCTCTGCCGCGGCCTCTCTCCATGACGCCGGTGCTGCAACAAACCAAACGAACACACTTAATTAAGGTGCTCAGGTCACAGATTTCGTCCAAAATTTGTGCACTCATTAAGGAAAGCAATACAAGCACCCGTCAAAGCATTTCCCTCCCAAAAAAGTATATACCTGGTACAAACTATTTGATTTGTTCAACGAAGAAATAGTTCGTTATTTCCGAAAAGCCTTCTATCATATAGCTTAAGTAGCCTCAAGTTACTTCCTTTTCCATAAAATACGTCACATGTTTTGGGGTCAATGTTGTCACACCTCGCAAGCCCCCCTCCCCTAAAATACGCGTGACGTATTTTATGGACAGCCCTAAAGTCTTAACATTTGATGTGAGGAGTTGCAATAGAATGAGATTCGAGGGGGTAAACATTTGCGTAATACCCGTAATAGTAATACATTTTAGGACCAAAAGTATAAAAAAATGTCATTTTTCAATGAAATCGAGGCGTAATACATGCGTAATACAAGTGTAATACCCCGTAATAGGAGTGTTCACCCTCTCGGTGCAATTTGGGGAGTAAAGCGGTCAAGGGGTTTTCTACATCGAGCACTGCGCACGGTGGGAATGTCGCTGAAAGACGCCTGCACGCAGCTGTCTGAAGGTAGATTCCTGCAAAGAACCCTCAGTGTTAAGAGAAAATAAGAAGCAGAAACGAGGCAAAGGGGGCAGCGGTCACGTAGTCCAGTGACGAGCTAATTCCGGCAACTTCCAGTGAAAGCAGCGTACCTTCCGAAACTTAATCCACAAATTCTAAGGGACGAGTAAAATTCTGCGAAAGATCGCGACCGCTGTTACGCAAGGTGAAGTCACAAGAACCTCTGTTGTCGCGGACCATGAGGAGAACTAAGTGACCTCTTGTACAGCTGCGGACCGGAAGCAACAAGAACCAAAACGGAAGTCAGGCATTATCAAAAGCCTGGCTCATCGTGGGTTCGCTAGTCCATCGAAGGCGGGTTCAAAGACTACTTTTCGCGGTGCGGTACGCAGGAGCAGGAGACGCCGCATTACATTACAAGAGAATACGAACCGGCCAAAACTGCAAAACGCAAATTAGTGAAAGTCCCGTCTCCTAATAAAATATGACAGCGAAGGCCGCAATGTATATCCGCACTTCCGGTTCATAAAATTGTACCAAGAATTTTTTGTTGTTGTTGTTCACTCGGCGCTGGGTGAAAACGTCGCGAGCGTTGTCAGAACACTCACCAGACGGTTCCTTTGAACGAGAGCTCTCTTTCTACGGCCACAGACGAGTTTCGAGGAAACAATAATGCTTGCGAGATAAGAACCGGGGCTTTCGTCAGCCAGTTCCGCAGGTAGAAAAATCGCAATAAATCATCTGACAGTTGTTGGATGTGAAGAACCGACACTCGACGAATACGAAGTGGCTACACTGCAAATCCGGTGGCTTGCCACAAATTTGGCAAGCCGTTTTGAAAGCCAAAATTTGGCAAGCTTTGACCTGAAATTTTCTAACGCCTTCGAAGTTTGGGCAAGCTAGAGAGTATTTCCGGGCCAAGCTTTCTAATTATTGGCATTCAAAACGCCTTCCAAATTTATGGCAAGTAAACTTACCACTGGATTTGCAGTGCTAGTAGCCAGAAACACTCACGATCGTGCACCAGAGCTCACTGCGTCCAAGAAGGGTGGCCGTCGCGCCGTGAAATTCACGCTGATGAGGCACACTCTTTCACTATTGAAGAAGCACTCGTCGCGAAGGCAGCACCAGCTGCTCACGAAGGGCCGGAACCCTTGCGGGACGGAATGATTCGCACACTAGCTCGCTGCTGCGACACTGGAACAACACTGACGCGACGCTCAGGCTCAGATCAGACGGCTGGCGGGACGTCGCGTCGCGTCAGCTCGGCTTGCCGGCCGGTGCGATAGCCACCCTGGCTCGGCTCGGCTCGGTTCGGCTGATGTCCTCTCACCGCCCGCTCCGCTCGTAAGAGCGGTGTCAGACTGCGCTACTGGTGGCCGGCAGGGCCGCGTCCGCGCTGAGGTAGGCGTATTCCCCGCTGGACCGGCGGAAGGGGATGGAGTGGAGGAGGATGGGAGGAAGTGGAGAGGAGTATCAGAAGTACGAGAGGAGGAGGAGGAGAGGAGGACATTGAGAATGAATGGGTCACCACCATCACCCTTTAAATGGGTGATGCAACTTCGTTGCCCGATTTTGGGTTACGAAAAATCATCACCCGAAATTTGGTCACAGGCGTTAGGCCACAGATTGAGTAACGTGAGTGTCGTCAGCGGCGCCGTGAGGTCCCCGATGACGTCCTTCCGGGGCCACCACGACTACCTCCATGTGGCGTTGAGGCCTCTCTGGCCGACGGAGACGGGGTCGGGACTTTGGAGAGGGGTTGGGGTATGTCATTGTTGCGAATTGTAGCACGAAATTCGGATAAAAGCCGAGGTTGGATTGGCAGGATTAGCACCTGGAGGGAAATTTGGTATTGGCGATTTTGAAGAAAGCCACCGAATTGGGGAAGAGGAGGAGTTGAGGGGGAGGATGATGGAGGGATCGCGGAGGAGGGGAGTGTGCGATTTTGGTAGAATTGGGAGAGGAAAAAGGAGGAGAGTGCTGCAGAGGAATTATTGAGAATGAATGGGTCACCACCATCACCCTTTAAATGGGTGATGCAACTTCGTTGCCCGATTTTGGGTTACGAAAAATTCATCACCCGAAAGTTGGTCACAGGCGTTAGGCCACCCAGATTTGAGTAACGTCTGAGTGTCGTCAGCGGCGCCCGTGAGGTCCCCGATGACGTCCTTCCGGGGCCACCACGACTACCTCCATGTGGCGTTGAGGCCTCTCTGGCCACGAACCTACTTGGTGTCCGGGACTTTTGATTTCAGGGTTGGGTTCACTGTCATTCATTTTGCGATACTTTTACAACAAAATTTTTGCGATAAAACCGAGTTGGCGATTCGCACGATTTATCGCACCCTGGAGTGCGATAATTTTGTCATTGCATTTTTTTGCAATAACCACCCTATAATTTCTGCGATAAAAGAGCGTTTTGTAGTAACTTTTATCACATTTTTTTTCTGCGATGACGTTTTTGCATTTTCTTTGTAGTCATTATCGCAAAAAAGTGATACTTCATTGCAAAATTTAGCTATAAATTTTTTATTGCAGATTTTTAGTTGTCATCATAGCAAAAAAAAATAAATGTGATAAGCTTTTTATTGCAAAATATAGAGAGTGATTATTGCAGTTTGAATAACAGTGTTGAGGAGGTTCCGGCCCCTGCTCTGAAAATCCAAAGGCAATACTCTTAGTACCTTTTTTGGCGATACAATTGAGTATCGCCTATAAACGGCATTACGGAAAAGTATTGCCTTCAAAACGGCGATACACAAAAGTATCGCCAAAATTTGCCGATACTTTGGAGTATTGCCACGATTTGGCAATAAACGTCGAACAAATCAAGGGCCCAAGACCTTGGTTTAATGCCGTAGTTTTGGCATTGCCCAAAAGTATCGCCAAATTTTGGCGACACTTCTGTGTATCGCCGTTCTGAAGGCATTACTTTTCCGTAAGACCGTTTATTGGCGATACTCAATTGCATCGCCAAAAAATGTACTTTAGTATCGCCTTTGCATTTGCAGTGTGGAAACCAAAATTGGTCAAGTTCCGGCCAGCCGTTCGTCCAGGATGGCGTCGAACAGCTGGATGTTTTGACTTTTTCTGCCGATTGGATGATGTTCATCGCCATCCTGGTCAAACAGCTGGCTAGAACTTGACCAATTTGGGTTTCCAGGTGGGCCGGGATCCCCTCAACCCAACCCTGAAGTCCCGGACACCAAGTAGGTTTGTGGCAAGAGCTCCTTCGGCCTCGGAAAAATCACCACTTTGTCCTCTGCCTGAACGGCGACCTCGTCGTTCTCGTATCTCAGACAGTGCTGGGCGTAGAACGAATCTAGACCCGACCACCTAAACGCCACATGGCGGCTATAGGGCGGCCATCCTGGTGGCCCCGGAAGGACGTCATCGGGGACCTCACGTCGTGGTCGACGACGTTACCCAAATTTGGGCGTTGATTTTTTTGACTGCCCAAAATTTAGTTGCCGCTGGCTCGTCACCCGAAATTGAGCTACGATGCGTGCGTCACCCAATGAATGGGCGATGGTGGTGACTTTTATTCTCAGTGAGAGGAAAGGTAGAGGGAGTAGAGGAGGGCCGCCAGCCAGAGCGATGCCCGCAGCCGCCGCGCCGCTGTGACGCTGCTGGTGCGTCGAACCCCCGGGGGGGAAAAAATTTTTTTTAAATTTTTTTTGGGGTTTTTTTTTTAAAAAAAAAAAAAAAAAAGGGAAATTTTTTTTGGGGGGGGGTTTTTAAAAATTTTCCCCCCCCGGGTTGGGAAAAACCCTTCCCTTAAAAAATTTTTTTTTCCCCCAAAGGTTTCCAAATTTCCTTGGGGGAAAAAAAACCCCAAAAATTTTTTTTGGGGGGTTTTTTTCCCCCCCCCAAAAACCCCAAACCCCTTTTTTTCCCCCCCCCTTTTTTTTTTTCCCCCAAAATTTTTTCCCCCGGGGCCCTTTTTTTCCCCGTTTTAAAAAAAGGGGGGGGGGAAAATTTTTTTTTTGGGGGGTTTTGGGGGTAAAAAAAGGGGGAAGGGCCCCCCCCCCGGGGGGGCCCGGTTTTTTCCCCCCCTTTTTTTTCCCCCCCGGGGCCCGGGGTTTTTTTTTTTTTGGGGGCCCCCCCCCCCCCCAAAAAAATTTTTTTTAAAAAAAAAATTTTTTTTTGGGGGAAAAAAAAAATTTTTTTCCCCAAAGGGCCCCTTTTTTCCTTTTTTGAAAATTTTTTTTTTGGGGGGAAAAAACAGGGGAAAAAACCCCCCCCCAAAAAAGGGCAAAAAAAACCCCCAAAATTTTTAAAAATTTTTTTTTTTTTAAAAAAAAAATTTTAAATTTTTTTTTTTTTAAATTTAAAAATTTTTAAAAAAAAAAATTTTTTTTTTTTTTTTTTTTAAAAATTTAAATTTTGGGAAAAAAAAAGGGGGGTTTTTTTTTTTGGGAAACCCCCAAAAAGGGCCCCGGGGGGTTTTAAAACCCCCCCTTTTTTTTTTTTTCCCCCAAAAAATTTTTTTTTAAAAAATTTTTTTTTTTTTCCCCCCCCCCCTTTTTTTTGGGAAAAAATTTTTTAAAAAATTTTTTTTGGGAATTTTTTTTTTTTTTTTTTAAAAAAATTTTTTTTTTAAAAAAATTTTTTTAAAAAAAAATTTTTTTAAAAAAAAATTTTTGGCCCCCCGGGGTTTTGGTTTGGGTTTTTTGGTTTTTTTTTAAAATTTTTTTTTCCCCGCCCCCGGGTTGGGGCCGGGGGAAAAACCCCCAAATTTTTAAATTTTAAAAATTTTCCTTTTTTTTTTTGGCCCTTTCCCCTTTTTTTTGGGGGGGGGTTTTTGGGGGGGAAAAAAAAAAAAAAATTTTTTTTTTCCCCCAAAAAAAAACCTTTTTTTTTGGGGAAACCCGGGGGGGGTTTTTTTTTTTTAAAAAACCCCCCAAAAACCCCCCAAAAAAAAAGAAAAAAAAATTTTTTTTGGGGCCCCCCCCCGGGGGGAAAACCCCGGGGGGGGCCCCCCCTTCCCCCCCCCAAAAAGGGAAAGGGGGGGAAAAAGCGGGGGGGGGGGAAAAAATTTGGGGGGGGGGGGGGGGGGGGGAAAAAGGGGGGGGCCCCCAAAATTCAAAACGATCCCCTTCAAATAAACAGAATAGACTTGAACCTCGGGGAGCTGTAGTGCGTCATATTTTCATCTTTATCTGATGATGTAAAATTAGGAACTCCCATTCCTCTGGAACTACCTGGGTCACTGCGAGAGTCGGCATAGTACTTCGCGTAGACGTTTCTGTCTCTATGGGCTTCATTCGATCCAATCATGAACAACCTACAAAAAGTAGGTACACACTAAATGTATGGGGGTTTTTTTGTCCCATGAATGATGCAATTTTAAGCACATCCGGTGGTGATGCAATTTTGTGTCCGCCAGGCGGGACAAATTGTCTAGTGAAAGTACAATTTGCAGCAGGCGTCGGACAAAATGTGTCGCCAGACGGGAACAAAATTGTATCAGCGTCAGATTTGCCTAAAATTGCATAAATCGTGGGACAAAATAAGTCCCATGACATTTCTGTGGCATTACAACAAAGTGACGTAAGTGCACTTACGACAAAAACGAGTTAGTAGCACTGTTGGAATCCTCTCATTGATGCGGACCTTTTCCAATATTCACAATTACATTTTTCTCGTTTGGTCTAGGAGATAATGACAAGTGAAATCTGACGTAGGTCAATTTCATTCAGAAGTCAATTTGCCAAAATGTCGTAAGTGCACTTACGACATATTTTTTGAAATCATGTCGTAAAAAATGTGTCGTAAGTACACTTGCGTCACAGATTGTTTTCACAGCTGGGCACTGGGCAGGGACCTCGAGTACGATTATGTCATATAAACAATGATTTGCACTGTCTAAACTTTAATATATAGAAGGGGTCACACCGGAGCAAAATATAACTCTAAAAGTGACGTAAGTGCACTTACGTCACTTTGTTGGATTAAAACTCTCAAATCATGTGACGTAAGTCCAGCAAAGTGGAAAACCAATCATTATTTTAACTTTATCTTAACATAAGATTATTTTTTAAGTGCCATAAGCAATTTTCCTTCATCGGTGAAGGTTTTAGCCTGTTGCTTGATTTTGAAAAGTGTTTTTTACGTCTCCTGCAATACTGATGTTTTTGACTTACGTCACTTTGTTGTATTAGTGTGTATCAGGTGCGGTCCAGCGGATGTGCATGTTTCGCCGTTGCAGTCCTTTGCAGAGGCTGTGGTAAATCGAGATTGTGAGAGCACGAAGCGAAGTGTTCTTCTGCTTGCTATTTGGTGCTTGGAGGAAAGATTAAAGCACTTTTTGATCAAT